ACACCCATTCATGTTTAAAGTCTTAGAGAGATCAGGGATACAAGGCACATACTAAACATAGTAAAGGCACTATACAGCCTATAGCCAACATCAAACTAAACATAGAGAAACTTAAACCAATCCTACTGAAATCAAGAACAAGGCAAGGCTGCCCACTTTCTCGGCATCTCTTCAACATAGTACTTGAAGTCCTAGCTAGAGCAATACAACTAAAGGAGATCAAATGGATACAAATTGGAAAGGAAGAAGTCAAAGTATCACTATTTGCAGATTATATGATAGTATACATGAGTGACCCCAAAAACTCAACCAGAGAACTCCTTCAGCTGATAAACACCTTCAGCAAAGTGGCTGGATACAAAACTAATTAAAAAAAAATCAGAAGCCCTCCTGTATACCCAAGATAAAAGGGCCAAGAAAGAAATTGGGGAAACAACACCCTTCACAAATTGCTACTAATAACATAAAGTACCTTGGGGTGACACTAACCAAGCAAGTGAAAGACCTGTTTGAAAAAAACTTCAAGTCTCTGAAGAAAGAAATTGAAGAAGATATCAGAAGATGGAAAGATCTCCTGTGCTCATGAATCAGTAGGATTAACATAGTGAAAATGGCCATCCAGCCAAAAGCAATCTAGAGATTCAATGCAATCCCTGTCAAAATACCAACACAATTCGTTACAGATCTTGAAAGAAAAATTCTCAACTTCATATGGAAAAACAAAACAAAACAAAACAAAAAAAAGAATTTTCAAAATGATCCCTACAACAAGAAATCACCTGAAGGTATCTCCATCCCTGATCTCAAGCTGTACTACAGAGCAATAGTAATAAAAACCACATGGTACTGGCATAGAAACAATGGTGAATCAATGGAATAAAATAGAAGATCCAGAAATAAACCCAACACATATGGATACTTGATTTTTGACAAAGAAGCCAAAATGATACAATGGACAAAAGACAGCATCTTCAGCAAATGGTGCTGGTCTAACTGGATGTAATTGTACTTTTAATATGTATTTACATAGAAGTCTAAGGTATTGTAGGGAAAGGTAAAGTTTTGTTGTTCCGTGTTCTTTGTTCTGTGTTCTTATGTTACCTCTCTGTGCCTTTCTCCTCTCCCCTTGCTTTTTCCCTCACAAGGGCCTTTGTGATTATATTATACCCACTACTACCACTCTGGCCAATTACCCTTCATTTACTCACATTTGGAAAATGTACTTTTGCCATGCTTTTTATGGTTTTGATCAGTTAGAACATAGGTATCCTTTGGTGATTGTGGCACAGGCATGTCTCTGCAAACTGCAGTGGTTTTTGTTTGTATTTAGTTTGTTTTAGTTTCATTGATTTTTTTTTTATGACTCTGAAGGTTGACTTCTATTCATGTACTGTCTGCTCTCTTACCCTTTCCCTATGTGTTTAGTTAGAGAGTTTGCTAATTTACTGTCTAACAGACAATGGAATAACATGAAACATTCCTGTCTGTGTTGCTGAGATCAGAAATTATTGATCTGTTTCCATCTTCATTGACCCATTTCTTCCTGCAGGATCCAATTTGCTACTAAGGTTTACCATAAAATAATTTCATTTTTTTCCTTTTTGGATCATGGTTTCTTATTTGTCAAGATCCATTGATTATCTACTTAGTAGATGATTTGTCAACTACAATCTAAATTACGTTTTATTGTTAGTACATACTGTTTTAACATTACTTTTTTCAGCTCTTCCTTTACAAGATACAAAACGTGTCTAATATAAATGACGAATACTAACAGTTGAGAGATAAAAATATCAGTAGAATGTGTTCCTTTCCAGGCTTATACAAATCTTCCTTATCTCATTTTTCAGGATATATTGTTAATCCTGTTACTATTTTAACTTTTAGGATGTTACAGATTTTAAAGTAATGATTGTTTCTTTAAGTAGCTCTAAAGCATAGACATTTTTCTCTAAATTGTGCCATAGTACCTCAGGTTAATGTCCTTCTAAAGAATGTGAAATCAATTCAGCATTTTTCTTCCTTTTTTTTTTCTTCTTTGTGCTCTTGTGACCTTGTGTTAGTCGTGGTTAGACTCTATGTCCACTAAGCAGAGATGAAAAAAGAACATACATACAACTACTCTCAGTGAGAAAGGATACTTAGATTTTTTAGAGTCCTTATATTTTCACTAAAAAGAAATTTGTAAACATATTATAAGTAAAAGTTTTAGTGATGTTAGATTTCTTATGCAGTTACTAGAAGGAGAGATTTCAGATAAATTTTCTTCCTTTCTTAAGTTGCCCCACTTTATTTGGACAGTGAATGAACATTAATTCCACGGCAATTAGGAAGAAGGAAGAAGGGATGATTTTAGGTGGGGTGAGGTTGGATTTGAGAACATGATATTATTGAATGATAGGTACAACCTAGAATCATAAAATACTAGTGTGAAAGAGATCGTAGCAATAAATCCAAATCAGTCACACCTGAGGAAATGGAAGTAGGATTAGTTTCTTTATAAGTATTTAATTATACGGATACTCATTGGGGAAGAACTGCTGCTACTTTTGCTGTTTAGACTTCCTACACCATCTAGTGCAGTGGGACTTTTTAGCATGCTTGTGTTGAGTTTAATTTTGATGAAATGGGGGAAAAACTTAATGATGTAGCTCTATGGAAAGAGAACAGTTGCAAAAGTTTGTGTGTAACATTGTGAACCAACTGATCACGGTGCCACTACTAGCTAGGTAGAATTGCTTCCTTTTTTTGAGGAGCATGCTGTGTCAGGGAGGGAAGGGGCCCATGTGATAGTTTCATTGAGGCTATTGAAGTACAGAAGGTTAATTAGAGGATGTTAGGAGAACTGAAAAGAAGACAGCCTGTAGATTAACTGCTCATCAATCATCAGGTGCACAAAGTCCCTGCCAATGTTGGTGTTAGAAAGAGAACAGTGGTATTAGTCCTAAGGAGCCAGGGCACAAGAGAAGCGATGGAACTTTGGAGACATGGCAGTCTGAGAGGGCTTTTGGTTGGCTTTGCCATGAGCCAGGATTCTGAAAGGGGGTTACTTACTGCATGAGAAGTGGGCCTGCCAATGCAGCTGTCTGTGTAAGTCAGAGAGCTAGAGGCCTGGGAATGGAGGCACAGAGGAGGGTGAGCTGCTGCTGGAGAGGCTTCTAGAAGAAGAGAGAGATGTAAGTTTCCATTACTGTGGCAACATCTCTGGGATAACTGGCTTCTACGGAAGATTTGTTTTGGCTTACAAGTTCAGTGGTCATGTGGACCTATGGAAGGCAGTATATCATGGTAGGACTTGTCATATAAAAAGCAAACTAAGCAGAGGATAGCTAAGGCCCTGAAAACCCCTTGGAAGACATGACACCAGTGACCCAGCTTATTTACACAAGGCTCCACTTCTTAGTGGTTCTACCATCTCCCAATAATGCCATATGCTGGCGACCAAACCTTTAACACATCTGCCTTCAGAGGACACTCAAGATCCAAACTGCAGTGCTAAGTGTGATGGGACAGATCTGTCATCCCAGTACTCAAAGGGCTGAAGCAGGAGGATTAAGGGTTCAAAGTTAGAATTAGTTGCAGAGTAACATCTTCTGATAAAAAGAAACAGTAACATCACCAACAACAGCAACAATCCCAACCAGTAGAAGATGGGATACTGTGCTTTCTCTTTCAGTCTGGAAATTTTTTTTTATCTTTTTATTTAACTTTTATTAATTACACTTTATTCATTTTGTATCCCCCCATAAGCCCCTCCCTCCTCCTCTCCTGGTCCCATCCCCCTCCTTTCTGCATGCATGCCCCTCCCCATGTCCACTGATTGGGGAGGTCCTCCTCTCCTTATTTCTGATCTTAGTCTATCAGTTCTCATCTTGTGTGTGATATGGAGTATTATAGTGATTACATTTTTCTTTTTTGTGATTATATTTTTCTGTCTGTACTGACAACTATTCCTAATACCCTTGGCTAAATTATTCATCACTTTCTTAATAAATTATATTGTCAAATCCATAAGGCCATGACCTTAGAAAGATGAATGTAGTTTTGTTTTTTTTTTTTTTGAAAATTTCTATTCATCATTTGCTGGTATGCAAACATCAGTATTTTAATGCCATGTTTTTTTAAAAAGTATTTTGATTCTTTGTCTAATAAGAAGAGCAAAATTTTCTGTGTTCTTTTTTTTTCTTCTTTCACACTATTCTAATTATATTTGGGCCTTTGTTTTTCTAAATTAGTTAGAGTTGATTTCATAAATGTAACAGGGTTAGATTTAGGTCTTTAAGCATATAGAATGTCTTAACTTGAATAACTCACTTTTGCTAATTTACTTTTATCACTTTATTTACTAAAACACATTTGAAATAATTGGAAGGGGTTTCAGATAGAAAGAAAACTCTTGTCCAAGTTTTAAAATTAACTAAGGATAGACAATGCAATTTAAGGGTAGGTAAATGCAATTTAGAAATTGGTAAAGTATGTGCTTTGCTGTCTTTATCTGTTTTTATTATGCCAAATCCAATTACTTAATGGGAATAAACATCATAAAGGAAAAGTTTTGAATTAGTAAATCTTGGATGAGGTCTGTCAAGGTGGCTCAACAGATAAAGGCACATGCCACCAAGCCAAACAATTCAACTCCTGGGACCTTCATGATGGAAGGAAAAATCTACTCCTGCAAGTTGTCCTCTGACTTCTACATGCACTGAATAGCATTCAGCCCCCACATGAAAAATACATTTGTGTGTATCCATCTTTTTCCTGGCTGTGTTTAGATTTGTACAGTGTAAAATGGAAAATGCTTATCTCTGGGAATATATGGTACAGTTTCTTAGAAGCTTTGCATATTTAATTTATTTGTATCTTGATTTCTTCAAGTTCTTGTTGGCTAATGAGTTTTACCAATACTACTAAACGCTGTTGGTTATCTGCAGTGGATTTGGGCTTGGCTTTCTGAAGTATTCGTCACTGACGCTTGGTTCCTCTTTGGCTTGTTTGGACAGGCTGCTCTGCAAGTCGGGGGTCACGGAGAAAGGCTGCACCAGTGTCGGGAAGTGATGCTTCTGACTTACAAGTCCATCCCCATGCAAGTGGATGGGGAGCCATGTAGGTTGGCACCTGCTATGATTCGGATCTCCTTGAGGAATCAGGCCAACATGGTACAGAAGAGCAAGCGGAGAACCTCCATGCCTTTGCTCAATGAGTGAGTCTGTGCTTGCCTTCCTGGGTGACCTGGAGACACTGGAAAGCAGACAGCAAAGCATGTGCATGGTCTGGGGACCTCACTGTGTAAAAAGGGGAGACAAATCAAGAAAGCACCATAGGCCCTAGGTTGTTCTCATGGCAACACATGCACTCTTATCTTGTCTATTTTATAGTTATTTGACTTTTTTTGGTAAATTTTGCTATATGTAAAATAGATGCTTCTCCTTTGTTCAGGTGAGCTGGTTTTAATATTTAGTTTGGTTTATGGAGGGCTGTTACAAGCCACTTTTACATTGCATTTCTTACTGGATGTCACTGAGTGGTCCCTTTCCACACTTCCAACTGGGGCCCCATGTCCTCTGATCCATCAACTCAGTTCTGCCTTCCAAGGCAGCATCTACGATTCATACTTAATTCAACTCATTATTTCTACTTTGAAACACCATGTATTCCTTTCTTCCTACTTTTTTTTTAGGTGTTTTAATAAACTGATTCAAGGTAAGGCAATTAGGAATAAGTAACACAGAACATACGTTCATTTTCTAGTGTACTTTCCTCAAATTGGTGACTTAATTGTCGGCTTGGGATTGGAGAAATAGCTGGAGGGAGAAGAGAATTTGGGTCATCTTTTTGAGTATCTTCTAGGTATCATGTCACTATGTGTAAGGTCATTTCCAAGCTTAGTCTTGGCTCATTCTCTGTCACAGTGAGGGGCCCCAAAGGTGCACCTCCTATTTGCTGTCTGTGTTGCATGGTTACCTTTTATACTGAATGGCTGGCTTTCTGGAGATGCCTGCAAGGAAGGGGCATGCTTTGCCATGTGTTCCTGAAGTCAAGGTGAGAATCTGCACAAATTCCCAGAATATCTGATGACGCAGGTGCCATCGCTCCTGTCACCTCTCTCTGTGGCAGCATATGCTCAGGAAGAGCACCAGACAGCGCTCTCCAGGCACTTCAGCTTTTGGCATCCGCTTCTAAGTTTGAGGCTTGTGTGAGAAGTCCGCTTCCTCTGTTCTTGGAGTCTGAACTTCCTGGAACATTGTCCTGGTTGTTTCCTAGAACTTCCGTTTACTCCATTTACTCTGAGTTGGTAGTTCTTGCTTTATTTACATTTTGCAGCTGGCAAATCTCTTGGCGCATTGCTGATGCTTTCTGTCCTTGCTGCCTTTTCCTTCTTATAGGTTGAAGACATGATTGTTGAGTTTATATGTTAAAAAATATGATATGTCAACAGTTGTACATGGTTTTCCATATTTATTCCATGGCATACTGGTTTGGAAAAGAAACAAGAAATAATGAATGGAAAGCTACATCTGAATCTGTACAGTGGCCAATATACCTAAGTCACTTGTAGATCATCTGTGGAAAAGCTCAATGAGTTTACTGTCACGAGTGAAGAATAAGGTCTCATGACCTTTTCAGATGGAAAACTTTTCAAGTGTTCAGTTTCAAAAACTTTTATGTTGTTATCAAGAAAGGATTTGTCTTCTCTAAGTAATCCTGTTGGATTTGTTTAGCTTCCTTTACATGCAAAATAAATGCACATAGTTTTGTTTTGTTTTTTCCTCATTGCATGTGTGACATATGCCATTTCTTGCATGTAATTGCACAGGTGTCTAAGAGCAGCCTCATCTAAAAATATGCTGACACTCCCTAGCGGGCAGTGTTCCCATCATAACAGCTCCATGTCACACAGAAGATCCATTTGCAATGGGAGTCATAGCACACTATTCATTTTTCAGAAAATAATTAAAATTTGAAAAATAAGAAATAATTTAATCACTATATACAATTGTTATTCAACACTATATTTAAAGGAAATCAGTACTGACAGTGCATTTTCAAAGAAAAATAAATAAATCTGATTACCATGTCACACTTGTTCACTAAGCCTGGCTTTCTCTCTCCTTAATCTTTTTCCATATCTGTAGTTAGATTCTGTCTATTTCATTATAAAACATTTCTTTCTCTCTTTCTTTTTTTTTTAGATCCAACTTCTTCCTCTGTATTTCCAAGTAGAGTTTCAAGTTTAAAGTCAATCTTCATTTCAAGGCTTCTTTTTAACCTCCTGTTTCTTTGAACTTCTTTCTCTCTTGTCCATCATTGTGTGGTGGAAGAGATATTTGAAAGTCATGTTACTTCTTCACTTCTCTGCCTCCCTTTTTTTCCTTCTTTTCTTTCTTCTTCCTTCCTATTTCCCTATATTACTTTTTCCCTTCTTTCCTTTCTTCTTCCTTCCCTCCTTCCTTTCTTTATTATAAACTAAAATTTTTGCTTAATTTCCCTGTATTTTTTTCTTACTAGAAGGGGAAGACCACCAGTTTATGGTTTCATAAAATTTTTATAGCAAATGCCCAGTCCTTTGTGTGTGTACATGTGTATACATGTGTGTGTATTGCAACTATGTGTGTTTATGTGTGCATGTGTGTGAGTTTGTGTTCTTAATGAAGGTATTGTAGCTGCTTGGTTCATCTAAGGAACTGGGATCCTCTCATTCATGTTACAGGGAAGACTTGCTATTTTAGTGCTGCAGTTCTCTGAATAGCCATGTTTCCCCTTGAATGCTGGTGTCTCACACATCTGCTTTTTCTTTGGGATGTTGAATCTCAGATCTGTGACTTCAGTCTTGGCTCTTTTCCAAAACTAAAGACTATTCCTAAATCAATGTAATTGATAGTTTTTCCTTAATGAGGTTTTGTGGCAACTCATATAACGAATATACTAAGATACTAGTGTCTAAAATCCAGACCCTTAACTCTGCAGAGTGTGCATTGCCTCCTTCTCATCCGCACAAGTCTGTTCCTCACCCATGTGCTCACTTGTCATTCCATTTCACTCCCCTCCATTTTCCTACATCTCGCTGGCTAGCTAGCGCTTTCCTTCAAACCCGTCTTCAGTTTGTCACAGTCGTCAATGCACACTGTCTCTTCTGCTCACTAGAAAAATGCTAGTGTGTGCTCACAACTGATTCACTCTCAGCTTATCCTGCCATCCCTCTTTAGAAAAATGGCTTTCCTACTCCATCAGTTGGGATGGTCTTTCTAAAAGTGGAAAGTTTGTGTTCTTTCTTGTCACAGTTGTTTTTGGTCCTTTCCCCCTTCATCCTGATCTCCTTCATCCCAGGTAACTACCATTGTGATTCTTTGGCCCCTAGTTTTTCTGCTCACTGTGACCTCCCTTTCTCTTTTCATCTGCCAGCCTGGCTCACAGTTCGAAACCCAACTCAGGTACCACTTTCACCAAGTACCATCCTCTAGGTAATTCTGGAAGTTAGTTGTACCTCTCAGTGCTGTTTCCATCGCATCATCGCCAACACAGTGTGTGCATCATTTGCTTGCTGGTCTCTCTGCTCTGTTCTGTGGGAGGCCCTAGGCTTTTCCTCTGAGGATGCCCAGAACCTGTCATCATCTCTGAGACATGATCGCATATTGAATCCGTGACTCACAAGTAAACCTCATTACACTTCTATTTTCTGCTACACTTCTTGGAAACTATTAACAAAATAACAGCTATGTTAAATCTCATGGATATAGAGGTACTATAGAATGTCTTGAGGATGTTTTGTTACAAGTATAGGACAAATATTGAATCATTTAGATACAATTACATGAATAATTAGAAGGGATGTCCATGAGCAGTAATTAAACAGTAGGCCTTCATGATGCCATTCTGTCCACATTTATTATGAAAGGTAAAATACTTATCAGAAAATAATAACAAATTTTATTAGTATATACAAAATAAAATGGGTTCGCTAACTCCATATTGGCAAGAGACCATACTTTAGTTTATTCTAGCACATGAATCTACACAGAATATGAAACCCAATAAATATTTCCCCACAAAATGTTATAAAGATTTTTGTCTAGGTTTTTACTAATATCATAGCAATATGGCAGCTAGATGCATTTCATTATTTTCTATATTGTGAAGCACCATTGAAGGTGATCAGAAGCTTAAATTAACTGTTGTGAAGGAGAGATCTTCAGCTGGTTTCCTTAACTTCTTTAGTAACTGTGAAGGATGGTTATTTTGTGTAAAGGCAGAAGTTCTGGTTAGCTAACTTAGAACTGGGTACCTGGGTTCCACCATCCTGGGCTACTGGGGGTGCATTATTGCTTTTAATAGAGAGTTTTTGAAGATAAAGTGGACAGACCACTGGGGTAAACTCATGGGTGACCTTCTGTGAGAATGTATGTGCCCAGAAGACAGAGAATCTGGGGAGCTGTCACTCTGCACTTAGAGAAGCTTAAATGAAAGAGGAAAAGAGAATGGTGGTACAGAAGTGAGAGTAAGTTTGGAGGTTCAGCTTGTTAAATTGAGCAATGTCTATTTTCTATTTTCTAGTAGCACTTACGGACTCTCTGTCACAAAAGAATGAAGGGGAGATGTTTATGGTTTTACTTTTGTACCTAGAATATGGGTGAACTTAAGGAATCTGAGGGATAAAAATGGATTTTTTTATAGATACTATTTATAATTTTGAGCTTTATATATTATTCCAGAATTCTTGAATTTTTCAGAACTCTTGATTTTGTTGTTGCTGTAGATTTAAGGTTTTCTTTTTTTTTTTTTAATGGAATTTTTAAAACTACCCTTGTGGTTCTCAGAAAGCCTTTTCTGTTCTGCTGAATGAAGCTCAAGGTTGATGAATGCTTATTTTCAAGATGGCTCTCTGATAGGACCTCAGAGACAAGGTGCAAGGATGAAACTGGCTCACCTCCTCACAAAGGAGTCGGTCGGTGTGCTGGTTTCCCACTCTGATATGGAAGCCTGTGCCTCCACCCTTGGGTTGTACTGACTGTACTGGAGCAAAGGTGCCATTGACAATGCCTCCTGTGCCCACATCCCACTCTCCTGCCTTGGCCCTGCACTCCAGTATGTGGCTTGCCTGGAACTAGCTGCTTCCATGTGTCCTGTTGGCTTCATTGCTATCACCGGCTTCTCTGGATTATTTCCATTGCTGGCTTGATTTCCTTTTTTTTTTTTTTTCTTTCATCACTGTTGGTGATGCGCTCATTTAATTTCTGCTTAAACTTTGTGTGTCTCTCTTTTTCTCCCTGGCTTGTTCCTTGTTTGTCCACGCTGTCCTGCTGATTCTGTCTTCGCTGCTCATTCCCTGCTGCCTCTAGCATCCATCAGGTGCAAGCTGCGGACCTGCGGCGAGTGTCTGCTCCCCCCGGCTCCTTCACCATGTGAGTACAGTGCCATTCTGTTTTGACCCTCCGTCCCCAGCCTCTCCTCAGGGGTAGATCACCTGCATCCTCCTTTTTCTCCACAGGTCTGCTGCTCATATAAGGGAGCCACCTAATCAGAGATGTTCTCATACCCTGTTCTTCTCGTGAAATGGAGAGCTTTGTGCTGTGTGTGTCTCCACCCACTATGCATTTGTACACTCATATTTTTATGAACTATTGCAGGGCTAGTGGATTGGTGTAACAATCTGCACTAAGCATCATTGTTTTTCAGAGTATGATAGGACAGTTATATCAATACCATTACAAATATATTTGAGGAAGTGCTTTTGTTCTTAACATTGTGTGTGGAGTTCATTTTTGTGCCAAAGAGTCACGGCTGTTGTACAATAATCAATGACTCTGAGCTGTCATTGAGTTAGAAGAAATTTATTATAATGCATGTTTAGTGGTTTATGCTCAATGTCTCCAGAGTATTTTAATTTTCTGGTGAAATGAAAGTATGATTTTTAGAATTTTCTTCAGCATTTGCTGAACACTCACATGTCTCTTTCTTTGCTCCGTATAATATATATTACCTGCTATTTATTAGCTTTCAAGTGGTGTGCTAGGTGCTTTGCATCTTTACAGAATCCTCAGGGTGATACTGTGCATGCGCACTAGTGCTTTCTCTTCTCTACACAAGGTCATAGACTAGCAAGTCAGACTGAGATTCCAACTCAGGCAACCAGGCTCCTGAACTCATGTTGCCTTCCATCTGTCTAGACTCACTGCGTTTCTCAGGGCCCAGCAGTGTGATCACCTTTTCATATAATTCTTCCTTGATTCTTGCTTTTGAAGTCAACCACACCTCACTGGAGTTCACTGGTGATGAATATGTTAAAGCTTTTAAAGTTTGATTTGGTTTTCATTGTCTGAACTCTTTACTTGTGTGTATTCCCAGTCCAGACTTGGCCTACTTGAGGTGACTGGCAATATATCCTTATGAATCTGTATTCCAGACCTAGTCACAGACCATTATGAGACCAAGCCATAGTTAGTAGTGGGGATAATGAGTAAAAAATATGTGTGCATGAGGAACTGTGCAAAATGTGAAATCTAGTGGTATCCCAAAGTACTTCCTAAGTTTAGTTATTCAATCTTGTTTTTGGCTTGTAGATCCCATTTATTACAAATAGTATATTAGCTGAGGAATGTTTCTTTTTTCCCCTGGTTCAGTGGCAGGCATAGTTTTATGCTGCAGATCTAGTGATCAACGCAATCACCTAGTGCCTGCACGGAGTATGAGGTTTATAACTGAACAGTCAAAACCCAACTTAGTAATGGTATCTCATTCCCAGTTGTCTGAGGATTATGGGCTGAACTTCTCCACCCTCTAGGCTCCTCAGTAAACTTGTCTTCAATGACTGGCTGTCAGTTTCAGTGGCTCCACAGACTGAGAGCAAAGTAAGGAGAATGTCAGCAACCGAAGTGGATGTGATAGTGGTTGAGTTCCTATCCCTAGAAGGACTTTTTTGACATTGCAACCATGCATCTTAAGTGGGGGCCGTTTATATTGTATTTCTGGAGTGGGTGTGCTATAGTTAGGTACTTCCATAGAGTATAGCAGGCAGGAGGTGTGACTATTTGAAACCTGTAGGGATGATTTGAAAATATTCCATGTCTGTGTCATAGTGTTACAGTGCAGGGATAGTATATCTCTGAGTGACTGATGGAAGCATCTGTATAATAAATATATATGTGAATATATAATAAAATATCTAATCTAATATAAATGTAATATATAATAATATAGCACAGCTGGGTGGAATATAAAAGCCAGGTGTTAGGGCAAGGCCACAGAGAGAAGTCCAAGCACAGCAGTGCATTCTGTGCCTTTAAATCACAAACAGTGGTGGCTTAGCCTTTGGAACCCATGCTGCCTTTTGAGAGGCCCAGGCATGCTTAGCTCATTAACATTGCTTTGCACTCTCCACCGACCATCTAGACCTGGCAGCCGGAGCTGAGATGGTCTGGTTTTCTCTGTCTCTCAGAACCGTTTTAAGTAAATCCTCTTTGGATCTTTGGAGGGGCCTCTCTATTGCTCTTAACGCTAATGCTGCCACCTTGAATCAGTCTGAAGTACCCTTTTCTGGAAAACATCCTTTGCTCTAGTTTTTTTGGTGACTTTTTTGAGGAAATCAAGAATACAAGTGATGAAACAAAGGTGAGAGATAGATTGTTAAGAGTCGTGATCAAATATTAAATTCCAACCACATATAACATCTCAGCATTATGGAATAGTTTTAATATTTATGTTTATTACTTCTAAATTGTGTGTGTGTGTAGGGAGAGGTTTTGCACATGAATTCAGGTGCCCATGGAGTCCAGAAAAGGCTGATTGTATCTGCCGAGGGTGGAGTTACAGGTGGCTATAAGCTACCCCGATGTGAGTGCTAGGAACAGAACTCCTGTCCTCTACAAAAGCAGTAGTGCTCTTAACCACTGAGCCATCTCTACAGCCCTTAGCATTATATAATATTTTGGTCCTTTATGGCCACATATGAACTGGTGGATTTTAAACAAAAGTGTTTAATGCCCCATTCACTAAATTAGACAACACTGAGTCAAGAACATTTACATGTATATTCTAACAATTTAGCTTTAAAAATTAATAACCTGTATGTGATTAATTGTCTTAAAAGGGCACATGCAGACTGCATTTCTTAAATTATGGATAATAGTGTTAAACCCATCAGTCAGTTGCTCCAATTTAGCATCTGCTAAAAAGCATATGAAACCTCAAAATGAGGCTTTCTAGAATCCCTTCACCCATTAGTAGCCACATTTCCTTCTTGCTCTTCCGGCATAAAAATGAAATAATGTGATCCATTTACATTTGACTTATTATTTTCATCTTTCATCACTGCTTACTTTAGACACCAGATACCCTGGGCTATTAAAGACATTGAGATCAGAAAGCTCCATTTCTTCCCTGGGGAAATGAACACCCCAGAAACAGACCTAATTGAGTTGACTACAATGAAATTACAATACAGCATGACTAGACTCCAAGTAGAGAGATTTGAGTTCTACTTCTAAGTTGGCAACTTCTTACTGAGTATTTGTCACAAATGATTGTGTTTTATCAATATTTGAAATGAGTGTGCAGCAGTGTTATTAATTCTAATGCAGTCGCATGAGTCTTAAAGCACCGTCACCAGGGCAAGATTACGTCATTAATTTTCCTCTGCAATACCGTCCTGTAACTCATCCCACTGTTACCACTTATCTCATCACCCAATATCTAACAGCCACTGATCACCATAGATTTGTGGCTTTGAGAATTCCACAAACATGGAATCAAACAATATGTAATCCATTTCAGCTGTTATTATTATTATTTTTTTGGCTGAACATAACATCTTTGAGGTTTATCCAAGTTTTTGCATAAATTAGTCATTTGTTGGTTTTTATTTTTGAGCTGCATTCCACTCTGTGGCTATTTCCATTCACCCACTGAAAGATAGCTGGGTTATAGCCAGTCTAAAATGATTGATAAGATGACTCAAACCATTAAGGAGCAGATTTTGTATACACAAAATTCTTCATTATTCCAGGTTAAATGTCTAGAAATGAGGATGTTGGATCCACAAGGCAAGTACATTTGGTTTTCTTAATAGGAGTGCAAATGAAAAACTGTTTTCAGAGTGGTATTGTCATTTTGTCTTTCTATCAGTGGTGTTTGATAGTTCTCATCGCATCCTATTGTTTCTGGTCTTCAACAGTGCCTTCAGTTTTAACTAGTAATCTCTGTAGTGGGTGTGTGGTTTTGTCACATGATGGTTTTGTTTGTGTTCCCAAGTGACTAAGTGACTGAATATCTTTTAGCATTCTAATTTTCTTTGTAAATGTTCAAGTCATTTGGTTGTTGTTGGCTGGTTGATTGATTTCAGAGTGGGTCTCATATCCTGGGCTAGCCTCCAACTTACTACACAGCCAAGGATGACCTTGAAATCCTGGTGCTCCTGCCTCTCCCTCTTGAGGGATGGGATTACAGTGGAGTACCACCTGATGGAGTATATTTGATGCTTGGAGGGAACCCAAGTCTATTAAGCAAGTATTCTATGAACTTAGCTATGTCCATAGCTCTTTGGTTACTTTTTAGTTGACTGTTTGTTTTCTGCATATTGAATTTACTTTGGTGCTTATTTTCAATCCCAGGCCTTTCAAATATTCTCTCTGTGTATGCCTCTTGTATTTTCAGTCTTATAATACTCCTTTGCACAACAAAATTCCCTGTACAGCAAAAGGTTTTAGTGATCAGTTATTTTTAAGACAGTATTTTTATTTATTCTTTGAAAATTTCATACATGTATTCAATGTATCTTGATCATACCAACCACTCACTCCTCTCCTTCCCCTCTCAGCTCCCCCAGCAGTCTTGCTCTCAACTTCATGTACCACTACCTTTTCTCCCTTCTTTCCTTCCTTCCCTTTTCCCCCTTTCTCCCTTCTTCCTTCCTCCCTCCCTCCCTCCCTTCCTTCCTTTTTTCCTTCCTTCATTCAATCCTTTTTTTCTTCCTCTTTCCTTTCTTCTTTTCCCTTTTTCTTTCTTCTGTGTAGGCCATTGAGTCTAATTAGTGTTGTCCATACATGCATGGATATAGGACCATGCACTGGGATATGAACAACCTTATAGTAACCATACCCCAAAGAAAAAATACTCTCTCTCCACCAGTAACCATTAATTGCCAATAACTCCTTAGCAAGGAGTAGGACCTCAGAAACCCCTCTACCATCTATGCTGAAATTTTAAATGGCGTAATCTTGTACAGGTCTTGGGGAGGTAATCATAGCTACTGTGAGTTCGTTCATGTGTACAATAGCTATGTACTCTCCACAGAAATTTTTTTTTCAGTATTCCACCCTGTCCTTTGGCTCTTATATCCTTTCTACCTCTTCTTCTGTGGTTTTCCTTGAGCCTTGGATGGGGTGCAGGGAGTTAATACAGATGTACC